GCATCGGTTATGGAGAAGACAGATGTTTGTACATCCATATTTGGACACTGCAACCATATTTAAGTTTAAGAATATATTCCTTACTTGTGAGTAATTTGTGACTAATTGTGAGAATTCTGCTCCAGTAGCTGCTAAACACAACCCCGGTCTACCCGGACGCGTTTTTCTCTTTGTTTAGTTCCAAGAGATCAGCAGTCGGTTACTGAGTTCTTACGACACAAACATCGATGAGTTTTTTTCTGAAATTGATTCTTCTGTAGCTACAAGTCGAAACGTACTTCGGCAGCTGGAGGAAAAATTTGCTCCATTAACGTGTGAAGCTGACTGGGAAAAAATACAGATGCAGGTTGGTTTCATCTTAGAACTATTAATGAGGGAAAACTTTTCCAACACCTCCTCCATCCAAAATATGCTGTTGTATACCTTCCATGTTTTATCGATCTACGGCAGGGGCGGGCAATAATTTCAGGTGGGGGGCCGCTTACCCAGTTTTAGCAAGCTGCTGAGGACTGCATGGGTAGCCCACCCCTTTACAGATGCCCCGCCCCTGGTCACCATCTTGCGACTAGGAGTCCCACCCCCTAACCTCTGCCACCGGTCTCTCCCCTTGCCCCCAGAAGTACTCCTTTTACCAAGGGGTTTTGCCATCTCAGAACCAAAAAAAATACCACATAATATTCTAAAAAGCAAATATTTACAGCATTCATTAATCTCATTTCAAAAAAATATTTTTGTCCTGATTTACATGCATTTGTGTAGTGTACATAGAGATGATTGTACAATAGCTTAAAATGAAGTCTTACTCTTGAATATTGTGGGAGGTGGGTATAGGTTTGTGGGGGCTGTGGAATTGTGGGTATGTGGGGTGAGGGAGCATGTGTGTGGATATGTGGGGTATGGGTGAGTATGGGGCTTGTGAAGGTTTGCATGTATGGCAGTGCAAGGGGATGTGGCTGCATGGCGGTGTGTGTGTCAGACTCGGTCTATGAAAACACACACGTCGTCTCTGCCCTCCCCCGTACCGGTGGGGAGCAACCACGTGGTGCTGGAGCAGGGCAAGGGCAGGAAGCAGGGAAATGGCTGAGGGTGGGCTGGGCCGTTCAGTCCTGCTGAGGCTCCCCCCTAGGTCCTACTGCCCCTACCTCTGTCAGCTTTGACAAGCTGCTGGGGCACGTAGAAAATTTATACTTAAGTTTCTCAGGGCTCCATGGGCTGGATCCGGCCCGCGGGCCGTATTTTGCCCGTCCCTTATCTGCAGTAACTAATTTATTTCCCATTTCTCTCAGGCATTTCGACAAGAGATATTTGAGTGTCCTATCTGTATTATGCCACTTCATCATGCTCATCCTCCAGGCATATTTTCTGGCAACAGCAACGATCAGTTTACACGACAGACTGTTCTGCTCTCCTGTTCACATATGTTCCACCATACATGCCTTCAAACATTTGAAGACTTTTCCTTAGGAGAAAGGCATATTTGTCCTTTATGCCGCTCTTGTTATCAAAAGAAAATTCTTGAATGTTGATAAACATGTAAAAATCTCAGAATGAATCACATAATTTAATTGATTTGATGAGGGCCTGTATTACACAAATTTGATCCTTGTCAGAACCAGCATCTTGAGGATAAAAATAACCCATTTTGAATGGGTGCTGATGGTCATAGAAATAAAAGTTAAATAGGCATTTTTGTTTCTGTTCCTCAAATGCATTGCTTCCCCATGATCATTGTCAGCCAACTGCTTTTTCCTTTGATGGCCTTCTAGCAAGCTTTTCCCACTGTCTTCAATACCCCTTTTTCTTTTTCCAGAGATCCTCAATATACACTTGCTTCTATGGCTCCTTTTTTCATTTAGAGGGATCTTTCTACAACCCTGCCTGGATCTGCAATTAACTGATGTTGAAAACAGGAAGGTGCATGCTACTGCTCCCACCAGGGGCTCCAAGCCTGTTGCTGAAGCTTGTCAGATCCTTTTACTAGCTAAGGTGCACTTCCCCTTTAGTGGACTACAGTTGTATCACAAGATCAACAGTAGGCAAATGGAAAAGCCAAGGAAGTCATTCAAAAGGGGCTGTACTACCAATAACTCATTAAAGACACAAAATGGGTTCAGGAATTTCTTATAAGCATGTGGCCAAATAACACAGCCTGCACCTCTAGAAAGGAAACCAAAATGCATTTAAAGCCTGTCAGCTGTTACTCTTGAATTTTGGGGAAAGGCTTAAAATCTCTTGATCAGTGTCATAATAAATGATGGCCTGAAACTGAAGGATAGCATGCTCCGTGATAGCTTGATCATTAAGTGAACTCTACTAGAGGATCTCAAAAGTACTTTATAAACATTAAGCCTCCACCCCACCATGGGGTGGAGGTAAACTTGTGCTATACCTGGGTATTACTGCTGTAGTGCCATGCCTTTCAGAGTTAAAGTCTGTTTTTAATACAAACGACAAAGAAGTGTTAATCACAGTTTAACTTTATTGAAAACACATTTTTTTAAAAATGTTGCTACAAAACACACAAAAATGTGACATTTCAAATAAAGAAAAAAACCCACTACCACTCCTTTTCATACACCAAAATTCAAACCATCTAAAAAAAAGCAATTGTTTTCGCATAGTTTTGTAACACTGCAAGGTTGCCATAACTGAAAATTGTATACAACACACATTTTCAGATGACCTAAATTTAATTCAAAGAAGGACTTGGTGAGGCAGAGTCACGTCCAGTAAAGGTCTTCATATCTAGTACAGTGAGCATTTTTTTTCAGTCACATTTGTGGTGGTCCAAGATAAGTGCCTGCATACCAGACATTTTCAAGTTAACTAAAACTTGTTCTTACAAAGCCTTGCCTTACTTTAAACAAATGACTAATGCCACTGAACTCCATGTGACTGCATGTGTGCTTAGAAGTATAGGTGTAAATCTTTCTGGAAGTTGAGACCTCAATTAACAACACAGCAGTAGAAAAGCCTGAATATGCCTGAGAAAAATGTCCATTTAATTCCATGGTTGAACCTACACTAGACTTCTTGTAGTATCATTCAAGGTAGCACACACTGGCCATGTCATCTAGCTGCACTTGAGAGTAGATTTTGATGACAGTAATTAGTATGCCAATGACAATCTGAATCCTGGGCATACTCCCACTCAACACAAAGACATTTCTTTCTTAAAAAGTCTAGTGAGGACAAGAGCACTGGAGTTCAAGGATGGCTTTT